TAAAACCACACACAAGACTATACCTCCTAGCTAAAAAACCATATCTTTCCCCCAGAGGTTTCCTCTTCCCCCAACAAGTTAAAAAATTAGATTTAGGTACAAAGTGAGCATTCACACCATAACTTTAAAATGAATTATGACTCATAAACTTTTGGCAATGGTATAAATTGTGATAACCCTTTGGAGAAACAATTTAGTGATAGCTACTAAATTGAGTAATATCTGTACCCCTTGATACAACATCTTAGAAAAACACTCCTTTGAGTGTTCCATCTGGTTTGAAAAAACAAAAAGCCCCACAAATCCATCAGTGGAGAAACTGTGTGTGTTTGTGTGTATGTGTATTGGCCCCAGAGTGCAAGGTTCTTGGTGCTGGCATTCTGATATCCCAGAGAGAAGCCATAAAATGCTTCTTTAAGTGAAAAGGTGAAGGTGTAATATTTTGAAAAAGAGAAAGAGACACCAAAAGCACATACCTTTAGTTATAATATATTGCTATGGTTATTCTGGTTTATTAGTTATTGTTAATCTCTACTGTGCCTAATTTACAAATGAGACTTTATCAAAGATATATAGGGGAAAATACTAGTGTATTGTAGGGTTTGGTACTGTTTGTACTTTTAGGTATCCACTAGGGGTCTTGGGACATAGCTCCCAAAGGTAAGTGGGGACTCCTGTGTATATTTGTATGCCTATATGGAAAAATTTAGAGAAATATATACCAAAAATAGGTACCAGAAAGTTAGAGAAATATATACCAGAACTTTGATAGTAGTTTTCTTTGGATAGTAGGAATATGGAGCAATTTTAATTTTAATGTTCTTTGTTTCTTTAATATTTTAGCATTGGCTAATTTTGTTTTATATTGTAAATTTGTATTCAAAAATATATGAAGTGAAAATCATTTGTTTTTTAAAAATTCACATTCACAACTCATTTTTGACCCTCAGTCTTTTCTTTCTATATTATTTTTATTAGGTGGATCTCTCCACCCACTGTGGGTTCATGGGTGGCCTTCAGCGCAATGGCAGCACTGGTCAGACGGCCCCTTATTATGCTACCTCTACTGTGGAAGTGATTTTCCATGTTTCCACTCGGATGCCATCAGACTCAGATGATTCACTTACCAAAAAGGTAAGGGCCCTCATTGGGGACCATCCTTAGCTGCTCTGTT